TTTTTTTTTGGACCTTTAATAAGTTGTCCAAGGCATAGCACTCGTTTTCAATTCTTCTAGCATTTCATACACTTCACCTGACTTTCTTTCTTTCTTTCTTTCTTTCTTTCTTTCTTTCTTTCTTTCTTTCAGAGCAGAATATATTTGTTGAGGGAAAGAAAGCTTCTATCTGAGAGAGAGACAGAAGGGGACCTGAGTGAGTTGTCAAGAAACCTGCCTTTTCTAGGGATTTTTATAGAGCAAAACCCTGAGGTGAGGTGAGGTGGGTCCAAGGTGGGGAAAAACGGGAAATCGCAAGGTGGGCATGAGGTGGGACAAAACTGTGGTCCTGTGTTTTAACCTAGATTTATCATCCTTTTAACAAAACTATATAAGAGAAAAAGCATAAGCAATTATAAGCAATGTGCAAAGACATAACAAAATTTGAAGCATAAGAATTTGTTACCTAAACGAGTCCCAATTCAGAGTCTATGTAACTAAAGCAAACTCTCACCGCTGTCCACTGATCTCGGTGGAAGACCTCCAAACGACATAGGAGAAAGAAACTCCCAGCCTGCTAGATATCTGGGACGAGTTCATGTTCTCTAAAATCAAAGAATGAATTTTAGGATAAACAGGGCTTAAGAGCAGAATGTATTTATTGAGCGAAAGAAAGGTTCTGTCTGAGAGAGAGAAAGGGATGCAAGTATGTTGCCCTCATCTGACTTTCAAAGCTTCCCATTTGGCCCTTGTATTTACATATAGATGGGGTGGGGGTAAAGGAGGGACATGAAGAAGTCTTCGGGGTCTGGCTTGTGCAGAAGACAGCTGAATTATGCTGTGCAGAACCTAGCCAGCACACTGCAGGAAGAAGAAAGGGAAAGAGAGGTGTGAGATGGTACCTTGATTTTGTTTTCTAAATTGCTGAGGATGGCCAGCCTGGGTTCAGATATTGTCCTACCTTTCCAAAACAATATCACTTGTATTGCCAATACTGTTTCTTTTTCCTTTTGTCTGGTCACTTTTACTAATAATGGTATAAATTTATATTGTGCAGAGTGACAGTTCAGTGCATCTTTTAAAGTGGTGATTAACACATAATAACTATACTTACTTATGAGGTACAGTGTAATGTTTCATCCACATATACAATATGTACTGGTCAACTTAGCCTAACTGGTGTTTCCATTTCCTTTTCACTACTTTGTGTTTGGAGCCTTTGCTCTGCTCCTTTCAAGTTATTCATAAACATATATATAATAGGGTAGGTTGAAATCTAGAAGACTCTATAATTTGCATGTCTCCCTGTGCAGGAGTGTGCTAATTTGTTTCGATCCAATTTTAGTATATGTGCTGCTAAAGCAAGTACTTGATATTAGAGTTTAGCATTAAATATGATATACTTGCTCCTAGATTAATAATCCAGGGTCCTTATTTTATAAATGAGAGAGGAAGGCCACAGAAAAGCTGTTTATTGGCATGTGTGTTTGAGCCTGTAGTTAATTAAGTTGCAGGAGCAGAAAGGCTAGGGCTCTAGTTCCTATGATTCCCATCTTACAAATAAAGGCACAGGGACATGTGGGGGGGGGCGGGGACACACACACACTCAAGGAGCACATGGCCAGGGCAGCATGAAAATGACCCAGGCCTTCCCATGGCCACCAGGCTGTCACTGTCCATCTGGATCAAGGAGCCCTGTTCTTTCTCAACCCTACTCATCTTGAGGCAAGAGCCAGGCCTGGGAGGAATTTCTGCTTTGTGCTTTGCAGGAAATGAATGCAGGTCGGGTCTTTGAAAGATAGCCTCCGCTTTGCAGAACAAAGTGAAGATAAGGACAGCCTCCTCACCTCCCCAACACCTGGGGGCCGGGCCTGTTTCACAATGGCTGTTTTGTGTGAAAGCAGGAATTTCCCTGGCAGCCAGGCAGGTAGCAGTACAGGCTCGGGAACCAAGCCTCAGGGTGGGAGGCTGCAGGAACTGGTGGCAGCCCTGCAGATGAAGGCTGCTGAGGGTCGCTGCATTTCTTCTAAGCACTCAGCCCGACTCCAAGTCCACCTTGAGGCAAACCGCCAGTGAGCACACTGTCACAGCAGCTGGAAAAATGTGTTCGCAGTGTTTATTCTGCCATTGCCACAAGGGGCTCTGTGGCTTTTGATTTTCACAATTTCTGGAGAGAAACAAAAGAACACAGGGAGAGGAGAGAAATGCAAAGGTTGCCAACGTGAGGGAAGCTGTGGTCTCAGAAAGTGAGACTGTGCCAGTGGGGTTGGAGCTGCCCTTGACCGCCCCTCTGTGGCCCATATGGGAATGTGCTTCCTCCCAGACCTGGCCTTCATGTGTAATCCTGCTGATAGGGATGGGAAATAAAGGGGAAAATGTGACTCATGCCATGTCTAAACATAATCTCCCCTTCCAGGGGCCTTGCTCAGTCTTGTCTTTGGGGAAACCCCTGTAAGCCTGGCTTTATTTAACACACAGACATACTGGCTCCTGGGAAGAGCCATGCTCTCCAGAGAGCCAGTGAAGGAGCAATAAACATCCCCCAGCGCTCAGGTGGCCCAGAAGTTCAGCTGTGACCTCATGGGGACTTAGAGCATGCATATTACACACTTAGGGCTGTGACTGCTTAGAAACCCATTGTTGGGCCATTTGGAAGCCCTGGCTATGTTTTGGGATCTTTGCATTGTCATTTATCTTAATCCATAGAATTGTAAGATCACCTTCAGAGCCATTTTGATCTTTATTTATTTGAATTTTTGATTTGTTCATCATAGATTATTTTTAAATTAATGACCGTCTTAGTTGCTTTTCTCATTGCTGAGACAAAATACCTGACACCCAGAGTTAAAGGGTAAAGGTTTATTTAGCTCACAGTTCATAGAGATTTCTGTCCGTGGTTGGCTGGCTCCAAGGCAGGGTGGCTCATGGCAGAAGGGGGTTACAGAGGAGAACAGTTCATGGCACCCACAAGGTAGCAAAACCAACAAGGGAGGGAAAGACAGGCCTCTTTCTATCTCTTACATTGTATCCAAGCTACTGGGATTAGGGCAGTGCCAGTCCAATCAGTGGACTGATTTAGTAACCACACACCCTTAATCCTAGCATTGAGCCATGACTCAGTCACACACTCTAGATTCAGCTCCCTCTGAAAAATCCCCACCTATGACTGCATGAGGTTGTCGGGGGGACATCTAGACACAAACCATAACAGATTGTATTCTTTTAGGTTTACAGCACATTGAGAGAAAAGCACAGAGAGTTCCTGTAGACCCCTTGTCCCAACACACTCACAGCTTCTCTGACCATCAACATACACACCAGAGCAGTACATTTGTAAGAACTGATAATCCAACATTGACACATCATCACCACCCACCATCCAAGGTTTACATTAGAGCCCATCTTGGTATTGTATGTTCC